TAATGTATACATATTTCCAGAGGGCATCCAGATAGAAAAATTAGCATGTTTTTGAAAATTCAGAAGCATATCCAGGTATGGTGGTACACATTTATAATCCTACCACTGTAGGAGGCTGAAGCAGGAAGATCACAAGTTCGCATCCAGCCTGGTCAATTTACCTAATTATTGAGACTCATCTTAAAATAAAAAAATAAAAGGGCTGAGGTTGTATATCAGGGCAAGGGTGCTGAGTTAAATTCTCAATACTAGAAAAATAGAAGAGAAAATGAAAAGAAGAAAGAAGAAAGGAAAGGAAAGAAAGGAAGGAAGAAAGGGAGGTAGGAAGGACAAACTAAATTAAAATGCAAAACTCAAGAGAGTTCAGCGATAAAAAAGAACAATGTGGACTGGAAGTCTTTTTTTATTTAAGGAAGGGTCTACAGGGTGTTCAGGGTCTCACTACTAGATTGGGCTTGTAGTGACCTGCCTGTTTACAGCCTCCCAAGGGCTGGGATTATAGGGGTGCACCGCCATGCCCTAGACTGGAAGTCTTGACAAAGAAGAGACAACTGGAATATGAAGAATGAAAGTGTTCTATTCAGAGGAAACTAAAGGCATCTCAGAGAGAGAGGACACACATATTTATTATGGCCAGTATATGGCAATTTCCATAGTTATAAGGAATAAAATTTGCACATTAGAATTAACAACTCTGAAGGCTGAGACGATCAGGTGTTCACAAAATTCCTATTAAGAAGAGAGTTTATTTAAATGTAAATCCTTAAACCAAATTTTAGTGCTTCTTTTTTTTTTTTTTTGCTCTGAATGCCTTCAAGGCATGACTGGCTGGCTTGTGTTGTGGGGATCGAACCACAGCAACCTGAGCCTGACTGCTTTGTTGAAGCAGCCACTTAAAGAACTGAGCTAAGGGGCAGACCCCCCCCCAAATTTTAATTAAGCAGAATAAATTCTCACTCAAAAGAGGACCAATATTAACTCTGTCAGTTAAATAAAGCCAAATGTTCAAAATTTGATTGTTTTATAAGTATTCTACAATGTGTTAGCACTGTAGTTATTTTCAGGATCCTTAAGTTTCATTATACTTGACAACCTCATTTGAATATAATCATCTTACTTACATCAAAATATATACGTAAAAAAGATATGTACATCAAGAATTGTCACTGTTCATAAGGAGACTCAGGCAGGAGTGTGTGAATTTATAGGAAGCATCATTAGACGAACTACCAAAGGGTAGTCAGCTAATTGTGTTCTTCATTCAGAGCATGAAACCTTCACTTCTCCCAAACAGAAAACTTACTAGCAGTTAATTGGTAGGATTCTCACCCTGACTAACTATATATGCTGATACCTGGGAACTAAGCAACTGCACTGAAGATAGCAATGTGTAATGGTAGGGTCATGCTTGGAATGTCTGTTATCCTGGTCTTCTAAATACATACTGCTTGTCATGTCATACCAATTACTGCCATACTATCTCTCAAGTAAATGTTTGTTTAAAGCAAGCAGGATAATAAATGAAAACAAGAGACAAGAAAAAAATGTCATAAGACTGTCCTACAATGCTGTATATGATTAAATTTCTAAATTTCTGGGTAAAATATATAATTGTTTATTCCTATTTTAAAAAATATTTTGTATTTTTTTCTTCACATTCTGTATGGATTTAAAGTTTAGCATATCAATACTTGATGGAAAATACTTCTTCCATGTTATGTCTAAGATGTGTGATATTCAGACAGATAGTGAGGTTAAACTCAACTGCCTATGTAATAGAGTAATAATATCATTAAACTTCTCTTCTGGAGGGTTAACAACTTAAGTTTGCAGACCAAAAATTAGAAAAAAAAAGAACTGGAAGGACAGCCAACACTTTGGCCCTAGCCTTTCAAGGTCAGTGAGGACTCAGTATGTAGGAGAATCTGTACTATAACATCCTGTAACTCAGTTATGTCTCAAATTTACTGATCAAGGAGATTATGGGGCCACAGAGGAAATTGATCGATGATGTGGGGTATGCCTAAGGAGAGTCACATGGAGAAAAAATATTCTCTCAGGCTTTCACAGAGGGCAAATTAGTCAAGCAATAGCCGTGATTCATCCATATGGCTGACACTGACAGAGGATCTACTAACTGCAGTACAGGGTCTCAGAGTAAATCCTGAGGGGATTTGACAGACCTTGGCAGATACAAAAGTTACATTTCTTAAACCAAAGAATATAAATTGCAGGTGTAGGGGGCTTGGGGCTACAGTGTTAGCACTCCCATTCATGGGGAGCTGGGCACAAAACCCAACTTTCCTGTCATTAGAAGGACCTTTCTTTCTCTGTGAGGAATGTTACTGAATTGAAACCTGATACAACTAAACAGAAAAAATTTTAATCTGTCAACAATGCAGAGTAAGTCTACAGAGGCTATCATCCCAAATTGAGTTCTCACTGGTCCCAGCCTGTGTTTTTCTGAACTCTGTATTTGCCATGTGGCCCTTTCTCCAGCCTGCTCATATATGTCCACCACCCCAAGGTTTATGCCCCCTCTCCTTGTCTCTACTGCACTCAAAACTTGTTTATTCTTGGGCTGAGTCCCTCAAGACCTTGTTAAAAGCCTGGCTAATGTAAAGAGATTAATTCACACTTAGACAATAATAGTTGGTGGTGATAAGCAATTATTTCTCTTATTTAACATTCCAATCCTAACAATAATGCCAGTGCTTAACTTGGAAGGAAACCCAGGGCATTCTTTGGTTTCAGTTATCTAACATCCACTGTGTTCTCAAACTACTAAATAGAAAAGTTCATAAATTAACAAGTTAGTTATTTAAACCCATTTTATTGTAGCTTACTATTGTAAATATTCTATTTTATTTTTAATTATTGTCAATAGCTTTCTGTGTCTTATTTATAAAAAATAAGGAAGTGGAGCATGCACATCTTTTTCCATGGAACTGTCTTGCTTTGTACCCTGTTCTTGCTGTTTTAATTAGGGCCTATAAACCCAGGAGATTAGCACAGGGATATCAGCCACTTCAGTTGCAGTCTACAAACCATCCACTTCTTTGTAAGTAACCCCTAATAAACTCATTCATCACCCACAAAAAGAAAAGTTCCATTTCTTGTTATATAGGTATTACTTTATCTTGATCTTAACCATCCAGCAGAAAAATATAAAAACAGGGGCTGGTGAGATGGCTCAGTGGTCTAAAGCACCTACTTAGAACAAGCTTAGCAAAGCACAGGGACGGCTGTTCAATCCCCCCAGCACCACATGCCAGCCAGCCTTGCCCTCTGGTGGGCTGAGCTGGCCACACACATACACAAATAAATAATAAAATAAAAAAATAATAGAAAAAATATAAAAACAAGGTATAAAAAGTAAAGTCATATTAATATGTTGAGGTGTAAAAGGCTCAAGTCAACAACTTCTGATATTGCCAGTCCTATGGATAACCCACTACTATTATGGACTACTGGACTAAATTGGATTATTTTGCTGAATTCATGCACCTATATTTAAATGGCAAGGGAATACCCATCTCTGACAAAATTAAACAAAAAAGGGGGATACAAATGAAGTACCATTTTGTATCTGTATATATAAAATAGTTAGGATAGATATACAGCTACTTTCTCTTAATTCAATGAGAAGAAAGATTTGTACTAATAGTGTTTGAACAGGATATCATATCTGCTTCTTGTACTATGAATAACTACTACAAAGACAAGAATATAGTTTGCTGAGCTGAAAGAAAAGATTGATCGCTGGTCCTGGAAGATGGGCCCAAGTTTTTGAAATCTGGTGATGCTGCCATTGTTGACATGGTTCCAGGCTAGCCCATGTGTGTTGAGAGCTTCTCTGACTACCCACCTCTGAGTCATTTCACTGTTCATGATATAAGACAGACAGTTGCTGTGGGTGTCATCAAAGTTGTGGACAAGAAGGCTGCTGGAGGTGGTAAGGTCACCAAGTCTGCCCAGAAAGCTTATAAGGTTAAATGAATATTATCCCAGACACCTGCCACCCCAGTCTTAATCAGTGGCAGAAGACTGGTCTCAGAACTGTTTCTCTCAATTGGCCATTTAAGTTTAATAGTGAAAGACTGGTTAATGATAACAATGCATCATTAAACCTTCAGAAGGAAAGAAGAATGTTTTGTGGACCATTTTTTTTGGGGTGTGTGGCAGTTTTTAAGTTATTAATTTTTAAAATCAATACTTTTAATGGAAACAACTTGACCAAAAATCTGTCACAGAATTTTAAGATCTATTAAAACAAAGTTTAATGAGAAAAAAAAGACAATATGCAATGTATTAATTATTGAAACTGCCCTATTAATCGGTTTTGAAACTATCTCATTGCTGTTTGTTTCTCAATAAAATTAATTTAAAAACTTATTTTTTTACAAAAATCTAGTCTTTTTACATCTTTTCATAAGCTTCTAATGAATAGCAATTGTCTCTAAGATGATTGACTACAATTTTATATTATAAATTTAAGCATAAACTATTTAAATTTAATCCAGTTTTATATATTTTTGGAAAGGAAATACTATGTACACAACTGGGATTATTAAAAAGAAGTAGAGCTGGTGAGATAGCTCAGCAAACTAAGCACCTGCTTAGGCAAGCACAGGGACTGGGAGTTAAATGCCTAGTACCATATGCCATAGTAGCCCTTCCCCCTTGGCATACTGAGCTTGTCACAGAGACTGGGTACACCTGTAATTCCAGCAATGGGAAGGCTGAAAACAGGAGGATCACTATGAGTCAAAGCTGTGTAGTGAGACCCTATACCAAATACATTAAATAAATGAATAAGTATAAAATAAAATGAAAAGTAAAACATACTGCAATAAGCTTTTTAACTATTCAGTACCCAGTTGATATAGATTTATCAAAACAGTAAAAATCTATAATATAGATATAATAACATATACATGTACATATCTATAACTTAATATTTTAAGCAAGTAAAGTAAGTTATGAAAATTTCAAAACAGTTCCACAGGCTTCATCCTAGATGGTTTCCCACGGTTCCTGGAAGAGGCCCAGTTTCTAAGGGAGCATGGATTTTTCCCAGATGCTGCTGTTTTTATACAAGTTGATGATCAAGATATTTCTGATCGTCTTCTTCCTTTCCAAATTGAAAAATGGAAATTGAAACAACAGAAGAAATTAGAAAGGAAAAAGCTCATCAAAGCCATGAAGGCAAAAATCAAGGTATGTATCCTATACAAATATATGGCAATAAGTCTGTTTAATATCTATTTAAATTGTAGAGTATAGTTTTCTGATTTTTTGCCATGATTGTATTGATAAACAAATAGCAATGAGACAGTTTCAAATCAAATTGGTAGGACAGTTTCAATAATTAACACATTGCGTACCTTCTGCCTAGTGGTTAATTGCTGTACAAGATG